CACGTTCCGTAGCGCGTCCCCTTGGCACGTCCCGCGGTGCGTCCCCATGGCACGTCCCCTGGCACGTCGCCTGGCGCGCCCCTTGGAACTTTCGGCGGCGCGTCTTCCTAGCATGCCCCCCGTGAATTAGCTCTGGGGCAGCTACTATGTGCTCAGGCAGCTCGAGCTTAAGATCCAGATCAGTTCGGTTAGGACTCGGATGCAAAGGAGGACTCGATCCACAACGCTATAGAGCAACTCGTCACGTGGCACATCGCAGTTCAGCACGGCGCAGCACAGCACAGCCCGCGGCACGGTACATCAAGATCGATACACTCACTCAGCATTGCAACTTGGCACGTTCTTTGGCACGTTCCGTGGCGCGTCCTGTGGCGAGTCCCCCTGGCACGTCGCGCGGCGCGTCCCCTGGCACGTCCCGTGGCACGTCCATTGGCACGTTCCGTAGCGCGTCCCCTTGGCACGTCCCGCGGTGCGTCCCCGTGGCACGTCCCCTGACACCTCGCTTGGTGCGTCTCCTGGCACGTCCCGTGGCACGTCCATTGGCACATTCCGTAGCGCGTCCCCTTGGCACGTCCCGCGGTGCGACCCCATGGCACGTCCCCTGGCACGTCGCCTGGCGCGTCCCTTGGGACGTTCTGCGGCGCGTCCTCCTGGCATGTTCCCTTGTCAATCAGCTCTGGGGCAGCTACTAGTTATGTGCTTAGGCAGCTCGAGCTTAAGATCCAGATCAGTTCGGTCAGGACTCGGATGCAAAGGAGGACTCGATCCACAACGCTATAGAGCACACTCGTGGCATGGCACATCGCAATTCAGCACGGCACAGCACAGCACAGCCCTCGGCACGGTACATCAAGGTCGGTACACTAAGCATTGCATTTGCCCGTCGCCCAATCAGGTGTCTTTGAAACGTTGCCATGTCTTACATTTCTATAGTCCTTTCCGGGTTCGTGGGTCGATCATGTTGACATGGTTTCCCCTTCAGCCCAAAGGAAGCCATTTCAATGGTGCTTGGGTTCTACACAGCAAAGCCCACGGATTTTTCCCGGAAAGGGCAAAGGCCCAGGGTTCTCTTTTAGTATGTAAACATGTTCCCGGTGCCCAACTTGAAGGAGGCCGGCGAAAGTTTTCCCTGATAAATATCGAGGTCGAAGGAGGCCGACGAAATTATTTTTGAGGAAGTCTCGAGCGAAACGCTTGTTTTTGAAATCCAGATCGATAAATCACAGGGTGCGGGACACCTCAGCACGACAACACCCCAGCACGACCACACCCCAGCACGACCACCCCCCCAGCACGACCACACCCCAGCACGACCGCACCCCAGCACGACCACACCCCAGCACGACCACACCCCAACACGACCACACCCCACCACGATCACACCCCACCACGACCACACCCCAGCACGACCCGATCGATGAATCACAGGGTGCGGACCACCCCAGCACGACCACACCCCAGCACGACCCCACCCCAGCACGACCCCACCCCAGCACCACACCCCAGCACGACCACACCCCAGCACGACCCCCAGCACGACCACACCCCAGCACGACCACACCCCCAGCACGACCCACCCACACCCCAGCACGACCACACCCCAGCACGACCACCCCAGCACGACCCCACCCCAGCACGACCCCACCCCAGCACGACCACCCCAGCACGACCACACCCCAGCACGACCACCCCAGCACGACCACCCCAGCAAGACCACACCCCAGCACGACCACACCCCAGCACGACCTCACCACAGCACGACCACACCCCAGCACGACCACGCCCCAGCACGACCACGCCCCAGCACGACCACGCCCCAGCACGACCACCCCCCAGCACGACCACACCCCCCCCAGCACGACCACCCCCCAGCACGACCACACCCCAGCACGACCACTCCCCAGCACGACCACACCGCCTTGGTTGAGTGGTTGCCTGTCGTCGTGGAATGTTTCGTGGGGTGTCTCGTGGAATGTTTCGCGGGGTGTCTCGTGGAATGTTTCGTGAGGTGTCTCGCGGAATGTTTCGTGAGGTGTCTCGTGGGATGTTTCGTGAGGTGTCTCGTGGGATGTTTCGTGAGGTGTTGCCCCATTGGGTATCGTGAAAACGTGCCCATGGTCCACATGTCTATATCCCTTTCCGGGTTCGTGGGTCCATCATGTTTACATGGCCGTCCCCTCGGCCCAAAGGAGGCCACGTGAGAAAGCCTTGGGCTCTGCAGGGCAAAACCAACGGATGTGTGGCATGGCCTTCCCTTCAGCCCAAAAGATGCCATGCCAAAAGTCCCCGCGGATTGTTGGCGCGGCCGCCCCCTCCAGCCCAAAGGAGGCCATGTCAAAACGCCTTGGGCTCTGCAAAGCAAAACCCAAGGATTTTTTGGCATGGCCTTCCCTCCAGCCCAAAGGAGGCCATGTCAAAAGCCCTTGGGTTCTGCAAAGCAAAACCCACGGATTTTTTACATGGCCGTCCCTTCAGCCCAAAGGAGGCCACGTCAAAAAGCCTTGGGCCCTGCATCAAAGCCCAAGGATTTTTGACATGGCCTTCCCTTCAGCCCAAAGGAGGCCATGTCAAAAGTCCGTGTGTTCTGCAAAGCAAAACCTAAGGATTTTTGACATGGTCGCCCCCTCAGCCCAAAGCAGGCCATGTCACTAAGCCTTGGGCTCTGCAGAGCAAAACCCAAGGATTCTTGACATGGCCTTCCCTTCAGCCCAAACCAGGCCATGTCAAAAGCCCTTGGGTTCTGCAAAGCAAAACCCACGGGTTTTTGACATGGCCGCCCCCTCAGCCCAAAGGAGGCCATGTCAAGAATCCTTGGGCTCTGCAGAGCAAAACCCAATGATTTGTTACATGGCCTTCCCTTCAGCCCAAAGGAGGCCACGTCAAAAGTCCTTGGGTTCTGCAAAGCAAAGCCCACGGATGTTTGACATGGCCGTCCCCTCAGCCCAACGGAGGCCATGTCAAAAAGCCGTGGGCTCTGCAAGGCGAAACCCAAGGATTTGTGACATGGCCTTCCCTTCAACCCAAAGGAGGCCACGTCAAAAGTCCTTGGGTTCTGCAAGGCAAAACCCGCGGATGTTTGACATGGCCGCCCCCTCAGCACAAAGGAAGCCATGCCAAAAAAGCCTTGGGCTCTGCAGAGCAAAACCCAGGGATTTGTGGCATGGCCTCCCCTCCAGCCCAGAGGAGGCCATGTCACAAGCCCTTGGGTTCTGCAGAAAGCAAAACCCAAGGATTTTTGACATGGCCGTCCCATCAGCCCAAAGGAAGCCATGTCAAAAACCCTTAAGCTATGCAAAGCAAAACCCACAGATTTGTTACATGGCCGTCTCCTCAGCCCGAAGGAGGCCATGTAAAAAAAACAAGACAAAACGCGCGGCAAGTGTCGCTAAACGAAAAGCGGCGCACAACAAAACGCTGGGCCTGCCCGACCGTCTGCCGTCGGTTTACGCAATCGTTTGAAACCAAAACTAAACGCGTCCAAAACGAAAAACAAAGCAAACAACAAAACAACCATGTTTTTATGTAAAACAGCGTTTTCGGCCAGCGCTGTATATATAGGTATATCATATTCACGTGACGCACATGTTACATACGAATGTATGTGTATATCTACAGTCTGGATTTAGGTGAAACGTTATACATGTACGTATACATGCGCGTGCACACGCATAGCAGTCACATGCTTACACCGCGCATATCATGCGTACGTACGAGCATTCGTCGAAATCATAGGTTCATAAAAACTCAAGGGCACCGCGCCCATTGAATGAGTCCCGCGACCGTCTGGGATGCGGCCACCACCGTACTTGAGGACCACATCAAACAAATAATTTCGAGCACCCAGAAAAGTGTCGAAGCAGTGTCGAGACAGTGTCGGACGAGTACCCCAGGGCCGGACACGTGGAAACCCCAAGTTTCGGCATTTTTTTGGTACTCGAAATTTTGTTCCGGTGGTCAAATCTAGAGTAGGTTGGAACATCGTAAAGCGTGGGCAGCTGGTGGTCGCCGCGGTCGTCGCGGGCGCCGTCGCCCCATACCTTTGACGACGGGTCTTTTCCCCCCAACGGATTTCCCCACTCTCGGCCCGCGGCGGGTTCTCCCGGAATTCGGCCCTCCAGGCCCGTCTTCGGGCCATGTGTCGGGGACGGGAAACTGACCCTGGGGAAAGGGTCGGGCTCTCTGCGGCCGCGCGTTGGAACAAATCGCATCGGCGGATGTCTGGGGTCGTGACCGCCGCCGTCGCGGTCGTGGCTGTGTCCGTCGTCGTCGCCCCCGCCGGCGTTTCCGTGACTGTCGCCGTAGCCGCCTGTCGCCGCTGCTACCAACACCCAGACGACGGATGGGAGGGTAGGGGGAGGGTGGATGGGCAGATGGACGAACGGACGGACGGATGGATGGATGGAACGCGGGGGGGCCAACGTGTCTCAGTGCTGCCTTCGGCTATATAAAGTTAAGCGTGCCTCCAGCCTAAAGTGGAAGCCAGTCCATAAGAAACCCTCCGCAAGTAGCCCAACCCTGAGACCCCAGGGCGCCCATTGGTTTCTGGTATGGGAACGTTACGCTCTCCATCGCAAAAGCATCGAAACCCCAAAAACACAGGGCACCCTGGAGTCAAGCAGCGTGTTGCTTGGCATGGGCCCCCTCTGTGATAGGAATGCCCTCAGCGTGACATTGGAAAGATGGGGCGAGAGGCTCGAGTTTCCAACCGCATGCCCGGCCCGCCAGCGTGGGAGCCACTGCTCTCGCGTTGGGGGACAGGGTGGCAGGAGGGGAAGGGGGGAGGAGGAGAGAGGAGAGGAGGAAGAGCGAAGCGAGGAGGAAGAGAGAGAGAGAGAGAGAATCCGAAGGACAAGGGAGGAAGATGGCAGACGCCGAAGCGAGCCCCCACAGATCCCCCAGAACCGCCCCCCCGGCACCCCCCCCAAGGCCTCGCAGGGACACGCAAAACCACCACAAAACAAAAATCAACGGCAGAGGTGACGAGGAGGCCTTCCGTCGAGGGGGGGCCGCCGCCGTCGTAGCCGCCGTCATCGGATCCGTCGCACCCGCTGCCGTCGGGCCGCCGTCGCCGCTTACTTACATACCTCTGTGAAGTGGGCGGACCCATCTTGTAGCCCATTCGTGTGCTTCTTACGGCCAGACATGACCAACCTTGGCATCCACTTGCCACCATCTCTCCCCTGAGCACCCCTGGCGACACTCATCGCTGAAACATCGATAATTACGGCGTCAACGTCACGGCGTCAGGCTCACGTCCTGGCTGGTCGGTCCAGCGGGTTCCCGGCGACTATACCATACGCCGCCGCATTCATGAACGGCACCAGCGCCAACATGCCAGGCTGAGTATAGAACTCCACCCGGTCGATGATACCGTGCGTCAAAGCACCTATCGTGCCACCCGTGTTCTTGCCGTAGCCCGCCGCAATGCGTTCCTCGAAGAAACGGTCCGTGGCCACGCCCAGCTCCAGGCCCTCCTGCTCCATCATTGCTTGGAGGCCAGGTGGCAACGAATGCGAGGCGCTGTGAACCTCGCTGACGTAAGCGTCATCCCTGTTCGGCGTGAGGCAAATGGATCCTGAGGTAGAAGGGCCCTGGGGCCTTCGCCCGGGACCATCTCGTCAGCCCGAGCCGTTTGTTGACGATCTCGGGGCTCGGCGAGGGCCCCTGGAGACCGAAAACTGTGAACAACCTCGGAGCCAGAAGAAATTGCACGAACGTACCTTTGAGAAGGGACCGACCGTCCAAGCAGTCCTATAGGCCTACCACGACATGTTCCAAGAACCCAAACGTGTTCTAAGAACACGAACGGAGTCCTTAGAACATAAACCCAATGTCTTGAAACAGTACGGTCCAAACCAGAAATCGAAGAACGTGGCGTTGAAACCACAAAAGGTTTTTAGAACATTCTTTGTGAGCCGAGACGCTTCGCCACTGCTTGATACCTGTGGGAACTATGCCCGGTTTTTTTTGATCTGCACTCGGCCCCCTGACTCGCGCGCGGAGCGCGCCGGGGGCGGCGCCAAACCCTGGACCGGAAACCCAAACCAAACAAATTCTGTGTGGCACCTGGAGCCAGATGGCCCTGGGGCCTGACACGGGGCAAAAACGCCCGATGCAAAACATACGACGCCTGTATCGCAAAGGAACCTCAAGACCCGTTTCCAGACCTCCATCGTATGGAGAAAATGAAGCGGAAGCTGTTCCCCGCTTTCTGCCCCTGTGTGGGGGCCCTCACCGGGCCTCGGCACCGTCAAAACACACTCGGGACGAGAAGCTGATTTTGAAAAAGACTTCCAGGGACCCCGTGCTCCACAAGTCTGGACATCGAATCCCTGGGTCCCCTCAGGATCCGCTTGCTCCGCGGCGACCTGTTTGGCGGCGCGCAGAAGGGGGTGAAGGAGGGGGGAGGGCTTCTTAGAAGGCGCCATGCTTACATCTGTGGGTAAGGCCCGCGCCTTCTAAGAAGCAGGGATGCTTCTAAGAAGCCCTCCCCCCTCCCCCCACCCCCTCTGCGCGTGGCTGACCTGTACTGAGCGCACACCACCGCGAAGCACACCAGCCGGCCGGTGTCGTCCGCCTCCACGCCGCCCTCGAAAGCGATGCAGAAATCCGCCGCGGCGCCGGCCGCCGTGGACCGGGCAGCCTGCCCAGCGGCAAAAACATGTTCTGGAGGGTTTTGCCTTGGTTTGCCCTTTTCGGGGGTTTTGCTTTTGTCTTGCTTTTGTTTTGCTTTTGTTTTGGAGGGTTTTCTGGAGGGTTTTGCTTTTGTTTTGCTTTTTGGCGGGGGGGGGGGGATGGGCTCAGGGGGCACGCATCGCCCCACAATCGCCCGCTCGTCGCCGAGGGGGGCCCGAGGGTCCCGCACCGCCCAGGACCCCGGGCACTCGCCGGCGGGGGCCCCTCGCCGCTCGCTCGGCGGAGTGTCGTGGTCTGACGCCGGGCCGAGGGTTCGCAGGGCCGCCCCGCCAGATGGGATGGGCCCCAGGGAGGGGACGACGATAGGAGATAGGAGGCGGTGGGTCCCAGGGGTGGGTCCCAGGGATGGGTCCCAGGGATGGGCCCCAGGGTCCCAGGGATGGGTCCCAGGGATGGCATGGGTCCCAAGGATGGCATGGGTCCCAGGGGTGGGTCCCAAGGATGGCATGGGTCCCAGGGATGGGTCTCAGGGTCCACAGGCCTCCCCCCCCAAGCAGGAGGGGGAGGGGACGCCGAAGCCGACGCCGACGCCGACGCCGACGCCGAAGCCGACGCCGACGCCGATGACGACGACGCTGCGACGACGCCGACGCTGCGACGACACCGACACCGACGCCGACGCCGACGCCGACGAAGACGACGCCGACGCCGGACGACGCCGACGCCGACGCCGCCGACGCCGACGCAGCCGCCGCCGCCGACGCCGACGCGGACGCGGACGCCAGCGCCGACGCCGACGCCGACATCGCCGACGCCGACGCCGACGCCGACGCCGACGCCGACGCCCACGACGACGCCGCCGCCGACGACGACGACGATGACGACGACGGACGACGGGCCACGACGCCGCCGACGAAAAACCATCCCACACCCACAAACATGGCATGCATTGGGGGTGGGCTTGGACGGGGGACAACCTTGATAACTCCCCCCTGATCTGGTTCCCCCCTGTTGGTGCACCTCGCCTTCAGCCGGTTCAGCGCGCCAAGGCGTGGCTCTCGGATGAGGGCCAATTGAAACGATGGCGGCTCTCCCAGACCCTCAGCTGATTGGAAAGATCAAGGCGGCAGCCTTCGCCGTTTGGGGGCTCTGGGGGTCGCCGAGCCCTCGCACTCTCAAACAGCTAGACAGGACGAGAACATGGTCCCTGGGCACGGGTCGGGACTTCTGGGGGCCCCGCCTCAACGCCGACGCCGACGCCGAAGCCGACGCCGACGCCGATGACGACGACGACGACGACGCCGACGACGCCGACGCTACGACGACACCGACGCCGACGCCAACAACGACGCGGACGACGCCGACGCCGACGCCGACGAAGACGACGCCGATGAAGACGACGCCGACGCCGCCGACGCCGACGTCGACGCAGCCGCCGACGCCGACGCGGACGCGGACGCCGACGACGTCGCCGACGGCGATGCCGACGCCGACGCCGACGCCCACGACGACGCCGCCGCCGACGACGACGACGATGACGACGACGAACGACGGGCCACGACGCCGCCGACGAAAAACCATCCCACACCCACAGACAGGGCATGCATGGGGGGTGGGCTTGGACGGGAGGCAACCTTGATAACGCTTCCCCCCGAAATCATGTTCCCCACTGTTGGTGTACCCTCGCCTTCAGCCGGTTCAGCGCGCCAAGTCGCGTCTCTCGGAGGATGGTCAATTGAAACGACGGCGACTCTCCCAGACCATCGGCTGATTGGAAAGATAAAGACGGAAGCCTTCGCCGTTTGGGGACTCTGGGGGTCGTTAGACCCTCGCACTCTCAAACAGCTAGACAGGACGAGAACATGGTCCCTGGGCAAGGGTCGGGACTTCTGGGGGCCCCGCCTCAACGCCGATGCCGACGCCGAAGCCGACGCCGACGCCGATGCCGACGCCGACGCCGACGACGCCGACGCTACGACGCCGCCGAGGCCGACGCCGACGCCAACAACGACGCGGACGACGCGGACGACGCCGACGCCGACGCCGACGCCGACGCCGATGAAGACGACACCGACGCCGGACGACGCAGAAGCGGACGCCGCCGACGCCGACGCAGCCGCCGACGTCGTCGCCGACGACGACGCTGCCGCCGACGTCGCCGACGTCGACACCGACGCCGACGCCGTCGCCGACGCCAACGACGACGCCGCCGCCGACGCCAACGCCGTCAACGACGCCGCCGCCGCCGCCGACGACGACGACGGACGACGGGCCACAACGCCGCCGACGATGCACCACCCCACACCCACAGACATGCATTGGGGGTGGGCCTGGAAGGGGGGCAACCTTGATAATTCCCCCCCCCCTGATCTGGTTCCCCCCTGTTGGTGCACCCCGCCTTCAGCCGGTTCAGCGCGCCAAGGCGCGTCTCTCGGAGGATGGCCAACTGAAACGACGGCGGCTCTCCCAGACCCTCAGCTGATTGGAAAGATCAAGACGGCAGCCTTCGCCGTCTGGGGGTCGTCGACGCCGACGCCAACAACGACGCGGACGAGGCGACACCGACGCCAACGAGGACGACGCCGACGCCGACGCCGAACGACGCAGACGCCGACGCCGCCGATGCCGACGCAGCCGCCGACGCCGACGCGGACGCCGACGTTGCCGACGTTGCCGACGCCGACGCCGACACCGTCGCCGACGACGACGACGACGCCGCCGCCGGCGACGACGACGACGACGACGACGACGACGACGACGACGACGACGGACGACGGGCCACGACGCCGCCGACGATGAACCATCCCACGCCCACAGACTCGCGTTCGGGGTGGGCTTGGAAGGGGGCAACCTTGAGAATTCCCCCCCCCTGATCTGGTTCCCCCCTGTTGGTGCACCGCGCCTTCAGCCGGTTCAGCGCGCCAAGTCGCGTCTCTCGGAGGATGGCCAACTGAAACGACGGCGGCTCTCCCAGACCCTCAGCTGATAAGAAAGATCAAGGCGGCAGCCTTCGCCGTTTGGGGGCTCTGGGGATCGTCAGGCCCTCGCGCTCTCAAACAGCTAGACAGGACGAGAACATGGTCCCTGGGCAAAGGTCGGGACTTCTGGGGACCCCGCCTCAACGCCGACGCCGACGCCGAAGCCGGCGCCGAAGCCGATGACGACGACGACGCCGACGACGCCGACGCCACGACACCGACGCCGACGCCGACGCCGACAACGACGCGGACGACGCCGACGCCGACGCCGACGCCGACGACGACGACGACGACGCCGGACGACGCCGACGCCGACGCCGCCGACGCCGACGCAGCCGCCGACGCCGACGCCGACGCCGACGTCGCCGACGTCGCCGACGCCGACACCGACGCCGACGCAGTCGCCGACGACGACGACAACGCCGCCGCCGCCGGCGACGACGACGACGATGACGGACGACGGGCCACGACGCCGCCGACGATGAACCATCCCACACCCACAGACATGCGTTGGGGGTGGGCCTGGAAGAGAGGCAACCTTGATAACCCCCACCCATGACATGGTTCCCCCCTGTTGGTGCACCGCGCCTTCAGCCGGTTCAGCGCGCCAAGGCGCGTCTCTCGGAGGATGGCCAACTGAAACGACGGCGGCTCTCCCAGACCCTCAGCTGATTGGAAAGATCAAGATGGCAGCCTTCGCCGTCTGGGGGTCGTCGACGCCGACGCCAACAACGACGCGGACGAGGCGACACCGACGCCAACGAGGACGACGCCGACGCCGACGCCGAACGACGCAGACGCCGACGCCGCCGATGCCGACGCAGCCGCCGACGCCGACGCGGACGCCGACGTTGCCGACGTTGCCGACGCCGACGCCGACACCGTCGCCGACGACGACGACGACGACGCCGCCGCCGGCGACGACGACGACGACGACGACGGACGACGGGCCACGACGCCGCCGACGATGAACCATCCCACGCCCACAGACTTGCGTTCGGGGTGGGCTTGGAAGGGGGCAACCTTGAGAATTCCCCCCCCCCTGATCTGGTTCCCCCCTGTTGGTGCACCGCGCCTTCAGCCGGTTCAGCGCGCCAAGTCGCGTCTCTCGGAGGATGGCCAACTGAAACGACGGCGGCTCTCCCAGACCCTCAGCTGATAAGAAAGATCAAGGCGGCAGCCTTCGCCGTTTGGGGGCTCTGGGGATCGTCAGGCCCTCGCGCTCTCAAACAGCTAGACAGGACGAGAACATGGTCCCTGGGCAAAGGTCGGGACTTCTGGGGACCCCGCCTCAACGCCGACGCCGACGCCGAAGCCGACGCCGAAGCCGATGACGACGACGACGCCGACGACGCCGACGCCACGACACCGACGCCGACGCCGACGCCGACAACGACGCGGACGACGCCGACGCCGACGACGACGACGACGACGACGACGCCGGACGACGCCGACGCCGACGCCGCCGACGCCGACGCAGCCGCCGACGCCGACGCCGACGCCGACGTCGCCGACGTCGCCGACGCCGACACCGACGCCGACGCAGTCGCCGACGACGACGACAACGCCGCCGCCGCTGGCGACGACGACGACGATGACGGACGACGGGCCACGACGCCGCCGACGATGAACCATCCCACACCCACAGACATGCGTTGGGGGTGGGCCTGGAAGAGAGGCAACCTTGATAACCCCCACCCATGACATGGTTCCCCCCTGTTGGTGCACCGCGCCTTCAGCCGGTTCAGCGCGCTAAGGCGCGTCTCTCGGAGGATGGCCAATTGAAACGACGGCGGCTCTCCCAGATCCTCAGCTGATAAGAAAGATCAAGACGGCAGCCTTCGCCGTCTGGGGGCTCTGGGGGTCGCCAGACCCTCGCACTCTCAAACAGCTAGACAGGGCGAGAACATGGTCTCTGGGCAAGGGTCGGGACTTCTGGGGACCCCGCCTCAACGCCGACGCCGACGCCGAAGCCGACGCCGACGCCGATGACGTTGACGACGACGCCGACGACGCCGACGCTACGACGCCGCCGAGGCCGACGCCAACAACGACGCGGTCGACGCGGACGACGCCGACGCCGACGCCGACGAAGACGACGCCGACGCCGGACGACGCCGACGCCGACGCCGCCGACGCCGACGCAGCCGCCGACGCCGAGGCCGACGACAACGCTGCCGCCGACGTCGCCGACGCCGACACCGACGCCGACGCCGTCGCCGACGCCGACGACGACGCCGCCGCCGCCGACGACGACGATGACGACGACGGACGACCGGCCACGACGCCGCCGACGATGCACCACCCCAGGCCCACAGACATGCATTGGAAGGGGGCAACCTTGAGAATTCCCCCCCTGATCTGGTTCCCCCCTGTTGGTGCACCGCGCCTTCAGCCGGTTCAGCGCGCCAAGGCGCGTCTCTCGGAGGATGGCCGAAACGACGGCGGCTCTCCCAGACCCTCAGCTGATTGGAAAGATCAAGACGGCAGCCTTCGCCGTCTGGGGGCTCTGGGGGCTGGGGGTCGCCGGGCCCTCGCACTCTCAAACAGCTAGACAGGGCGAGAACATGGTCCCTGGGCAAGGGTCGGGACTTCTGGGGACCCCGCCTCAACGCCGACGCCGACGCCGAAGCCGACGCCGACGCCGATGACGACGACGATGCCGACGACGCCGACGCCACGACGACACCGTCGCCGACGCCAACGCCGTCAACGACGCGGACGACGCCGACGCCGTCGCCGACGCCGACGACGACGCCGCCGCCGCCGGCGACGACGACGATGACAACGACGGACGACGGGCCACGACGCCGCTGACGATGAACCATCCCACGCCCAGACATGCGTTGGGGGTGGGCCTGGAGGGGGGGCAACCTTGATAACTCCCCCCCCCCCTGATCTGGTTCCCCCCTGTTGGTCCACCCCGCCTTCAGCCGGTTCAGCGCGCCAAGGCGCGTCTCTCGGAGGATGGCCAATTGAAACAACGGCGGCTCTCCCAGACCCTCAGCTGACTGGCAAGATCGAGACGGAAGCCGTCGCCGTTGGGGGATTCTGGGGGTCGCCGGGCCCTCGCACTCTCAAACAGCTAGACAGGACGAGAACATGGTCCTTGGGCAAGGGTTAAGTCGGGCCTGTCCCCCATACAGGGGGATTTTCGACGAAAAATAAAGAATACCGCTAACAAAAATCAATAAATAGTCCAACAATAATATAGAGACTATTGTTTGAATATTTGTTGGCCTTTTTGGGGGATTTTTGGGGTATGTTTGAGTTTTCGTCGAAAATCCCCCTGTAGGGGGACCCCGCCTCGACGACAGCCAAGACGTCATCGGAGCTCTGGGCCTCGCGCCCTGCCCCGAGCCCCTCGGAGTCGACCCTCGGGCCCCTCCAGGGGCCCCCCTCGACAGGCCTCCCAGATCCATCGCCGGTGCATCGCCGAGGCACCGGCGATGCAGACGTGTCGGCGCCGTCGGCGCTGCATCTCGGGTCGGGCGATTGGGGGGATAGCAAAGGGGGGGGTTTGAGAATCAGCTCGCGCAGCTGATTTTCCCTGCGCCTCCCGGCGCCGGATGCGGCCACGTATCGAGGAATGGGCCCCTCGGTGAGGCCGAATCCAGCTGCATGCAGCAGATTTCGTAACCCCCCCTTTCCCAATCCCCCCCTTTCGTCCGGCCCGAGCATCGGGACCATCGGCATGGAGACAATCGGGCTCCACATCGGGCCGCATCCGCGATGCACCGTCGATGCGGCGCGGCCCGACTGGATCTGCTGGGGTCCCACCTGGGAGATCGGGTGGGACCGATTGGGGGGTCATGAATGGGCGGGGTCAGAAACGGTCCCCTTTCGGGCCCCTCCGTTGCCCTGAGGGGCTCGTTTAAATACCATAAGTACCTTTTCGGACCATCCTCGCCACCCCCCCATTTATGACCCCCCAGGACGCAACGCCCAAGGAGAAATGGAGCCTGGAGTCCCGGCAGAAGGTCCTGCCTGGAAGCGGCCAGGGGGTCTGTGCTGGATGGACTCCGAGAACACCTGCCGTCGGTCCGTGGGCCCCTCCTGGGGTCGAGACTGACAAACCATGGTGAATGGGGGGTCCTACCCGACCCATGTCCCGTGACTGGTTTCTCATAATGGGTGGTGTAGGGGCACCATTTCCTCCTCGGACTTCGACCCCACTTGGGAGGCCTACCCTCCACCTCCACCTTCCATACCTTCCGACCTCTGTGGAAGGTACGGAGAAAATTTCCGAAACGATGGAAGCCTTGGGCCCATTCAAGGGAACCCACATGGATCATATCGAAACAGAAACGGAAAATTAGGGCGGAAGGTCCGGAAGCATGAGAGGGAGGACCCTCCTCCTCTTCCTCCTCCTCCTCCTCCTCCTCCGGCTTCGACCCCACTTGGGCGACGATCAAAAACTAGTCTTACGCGAGATGCCATAGCGATCTTACGCCGCAGCTTCTGCGGGTCGCCAGCGCGGCACACCAAAAAATTGAGACGAGGACGCTTACGCGCGACCTGACGCGGGCAACTTATGCGCCAGTGTCGGCGCAGTGTCGGCGCAAACGACCCTGAGGAACCCAAGGCACTGGTCCCGCTACTCCCTGGATCTCTCCCGTGGTGAGTTCTGATAAGAGTTTCGAGGCGAATCCAGTGGTGGCGACGAGGGCTTCCGCAGAGGCCGAAAAAGGAAAACGGGCGAAGGGTAGAGGTATGGGTACCTTTTCCTCCTCTGAGGCCCCGCTTCTCTGCGTCGCCCACTTGGGAGGCCTAGCACCCCGCGAGGCCCAGCAGAGACGACCTGGCCTGGGAGGGCCGCCGCTGCCTGGACCAGCCCCCCTCCGAGGCCTCCTGCCGCCCCCTCGGCTGCGCCGACACTCCGGAGGGGGCCTCGACGGCCTCGAGCTGCAAGGCCTGGCGGGCATGAGCCGGGTCGAGCAACGCGATCTCGGATCGGATCGGGCACTCGGAGGAGGAACAGCAACCAGATTAGGGGAACGAAGAATGGCATAAACATAAAAATTCGGAGGTCCGCGCGGATTTCTTGGATCCGCGCTTGGTCCCCCCCAGAGGCGCCTCCGGCGCCGCCCCTGGCGCACTCCGCGCGCTAGGAAGGGGGGTCAGCGCAGATCCAAGAAATCCGCGCGGAGCGGCAACAATTTATGTATGGGGCGTTTTCTCTTCTGCATTTACCGCTGCTTTTCGCCCGTGTTCCTCTCTTGCAGCCTCCTCGGAGGCACCCGTCGCCGCCGCTGGACCCGCCTGGAGATCGTGGTCAGAACGCGCCCCGAACGACGGACCGCTTGAACTATTTTCGGCGTCCAAGGGGCCCTCAACAGGCCTCAGGACCGTGAACAAAACGACCCCGCATGAAAAACCGTTCCCAGGGAAGGGGGCCAAATCTCTGGGGGTCGACGCTGCGAACAAACAATCACGACGCCGGGGGTCTGGGAAGAGTGCGATCTTTGGGCGTGGCTTAATGGGGGGGGCACAAATGGGGGGGTCAGAAAAGGTCCCCTTTCGTGCCCCTTTCGGGCCCCTCCACAGCCCAGGGGGCTCGTTTAGGTACCATTTTGGTACCTTTTCGGACCACACTCGCCGCCCCCCCATTTATGATCCCCCATTGCGCAGCGCCCAAGATCTCGAATCGGATCAGGAGTGGATCGGATCGCCGGCGCATCGTCCTGGATCGAATCGACGTCGGATCGCCGCGCCCAGCTCTGGCTGGCACTGGCCGATGCCAGCGACCCGAAGCGAATCGGATCGGCTCGGAGGCGCGGCCCCAGCCGGTGAACCGAATCGCACCTCCTCCTCCTCCTCCTCCTCCTCCTCCTCCTCCTCCTCCTCCTCCTCCTCCTCCGCCTCCGCCTCCGCCTCCTCCTCCTCCTCCTCCTCCTCCTCCTCCTCCTCCCTCCTCCTCCTCCTCCTCCTCCTCCCCCACAATTACTCAATATGACTACTACTCTCCCTCTTCCCCTGATGACGGCCTGGGAATGTCCGACCCCCCCCTGCGCACTGTTTTTTTACACACAGGTTTCCCCGGAGTTGGGTTTTCGCCTGCATTTTTTCAAAATGCTGCCCTCGCTGAGGCGCCGGCCTCATTTTCGGGCCCCGCTCGTTCCGAATCGTGCTCCCGCTGCAGCGCTGGCCTCATGTCCGTGCTTCCGCTCGTTCCGAATCGTGCTCCCGCTGCAGCGCTGGCCTCATTTCCGCGCTTCCGTTCGTTTCGACGCGCGTTCCCGCTGCAGCGCTGGCGTCATTTCCCGTGCCATGCCATGCCACGGCATGCAATGCAAGCTAGGTTGATACTACGCTTTGCGGTACTCTACTACGCCATGCCACGCCGTGCTCTACAATGCATCGCGCATCCTTTCGGAATCATTGCCCTGCTCGACATCCGACTGTGCGGGTAGAGAGGGGATCTGCGCCATGGTAAGGGATGGGTGGGAGGGATAGGATAACAGATATGACGCGAGCGCACATAGCTTGTCCTCCTCCCCCTCCGCCTCCTCCTCCTCCTCCTCCTCCTCCTCCTGGCCATGCCTGGTGGGGCCACAGCAGGCGCCCGAAGGCCGCCGCCGCAGCCTCCACCTTGGGGCGGCTGCAGCTCGCGACCACCACGCGGACCCCGAGGCCCCCCTCGCGGGAGGACGCCAACTGCACACCTGCACCGACCCTGGCCTCCTCCTCCTCCTCCTCCTCCTCCTCCTCGTCCTCCTCCTCCTCCTCCTCCTCCTCCTCCTCTTCGTCCTCCTCCTCGTCCTCCTCCTCCTCCTCCTCCTCCTCCGCCTCCTCCTCCTCCTCCTCCTCCTGGGTCCGGGATCGTTGTGCGCTGGGGACGGAAATGAAGGGCTGTATCATCTTGGAAATGGCGTGTTTTTTTGTATTCCTCCCTTTCGTCGGTTCAATACAACCGAGAGTAGATAGTCGCATTTGTTAACTGTCGTCTGCTGATTCCTGGAAAAAATAACAAGCTGATTGTTTTATAACAATATCAGAACAGATCATGTCCGTTTGCACCAAAACACTCAAAGCAAACAAAAATGAAAAGGGTTTGTGAGCATGTATTTTGAAAAGACACAGGGTCATTCTGGAATTTGATTTCTTGTTAACTGGCCTAACAGGGCTCCAAATAGAGCCCCAGGGCGGCCCGAGAGGCCCCCAGGAGAGCCCGAATACGGCCTAGGAGGACCCCAAGACGGCCCAAGAAGGCTCCAAGACGGCCTTGTCTTTGGGGGGAAACGGCGGGGAGGCCAGATCGCCCAGATCGCTATCCAGACAACTCGCAGGCCCGCGAAGAGTAGGAGGAGGAGGGGGATGAGGAGGAAGAGGAGGAGGAGGAGGAGGAGGAGGAGGAGGAGGAGGACGAGGAGGAGGAGGAGGGGGAGGAGGAGGAGGAAGAGGAGGTGGAGGGGGTGGGGGAAGAGCGGGCGGGCGAAAGATGGGGACGGGGGGGGGGGGGGAACAGTGGGCAGCGATCGCAATCTTTCTCGTCGCGAGCGTCAGTGGGACTTCAGAGACAGCCTCTACCAGCTGATCAAATCTACGTGGTCAGACACGTAGTCTTCCCCGCCCCACCCCGCCTTTCCCCCTCCTCCTCTTCCTCCTTCTGTTTATCCGAAGTGCAGTGCAATTAATTAAAAAGAGTGCGCAGTATTGCCGCGCCAGTTCCCATGAACAGAAGGCGAACGTGGAGGAACACGAGGAGCGGGGGGGCAGAGGAGGGAGGAGCATAATGAGGACGAGGATGGCAATGAGCATGTATGAAGTAAAACCAAGCTACTTGCGAGGACGTCTCAAGCGAAATCGCGCCCAAACCAGGCTCAATACCAGAATGCGTATCCCTGCTGTTTCTCGGGTTCATCCCCCTTCCGCCGATCATAGCATCTTGGCCCGATGTCAACACCTCTTGCTTGCTTGACTCGCGCCGCGTGGTCGTGCCAGCCCGCCGTCGTCGATGATGATGGGCACGGCGGCCTGCGAGTGTCTCTCAGCACCTTTGACTGCAACCGGATCGTGTCAGATGCCGTCATCGCGCTGAACGGGGACGCGGCAGACGAAAGTTTGATTCATGATACCCGAAGGGAGTGCCACAACCACGTCAACGAGGTGGGTCGGTGGCCACGACTCTAGGGGGCGGGCAATTCGTTCGGGAACTCCCGAGCGAAGTGGCCCCCCCTAGATATCGTTTTTTGGGGGGTGGGTCGGGGAGGGCGACGTGGCCTCAGAGCGCCCAGGATGGCCCCCAAATAGCCCGAGAGGTCACCTGAAATCGGGCGGGTGGGCCTCAAGGGCCCCAGGAACCAAGTTCTCAGTTTTCGGGCCCTGGGGGGGGGTCCACGAGTCCACGATCCCATCCAGGGCACCTTGGGGCCCGCGGGGAGGAGTAGGAAGAGGAGGAAGGAATAAGAGGATAAGGGGGAGAAGGAGGTGGGGATCGGGGGGCCCGTGGACTCGGGGCAGGCACTTCGTCACAAAGCTCTTCCTTACACTATATTGGACGTGCGCGATGTTTTGGCCGCTATGGGGAGTTGCGACATCCCCGAGGCGCACGCGGTGCACTTGAAAGACGAGGGGGGGGGGGGGGGGCGGCGGCAGGCCCCGAGGTCCCGACGTCCGATTTCACGGGGGGTGAAAGGCAGGCATGGGGGCGGTGGCCTGGGCGGCCCTCTGCCAGGCATCGCGTCGGGCTCTCGACGCCGCAGCGGCCGCTCGTCGTCGCGCTCTCGGTGCCCCGTGGCTTGTCTTCGTCCCTCATCCCTCCTTCCTCCCGCTCCATGCCCCTCCATCCCCCTTCTCCTCCTCCTCCCTCTTTCCTTGAGCTCCACCCCTCCGCCCTCCCCCTCTTCCTCTCCTCCTCCTCCGGCGCCCCGCCTGCCCCCGCTGGTGATCGAGGGGCAGGGGGCCGAGGGGCGCGAGCTGGTGCGCGCGGGCGCAGGGGCGGCGGTCGAGGTCGTCGCCCAGGGGGTCGAGGTCCCGGGGGCGACCCGGGCGGCGACGATGGCGGAGACGACGGCGACAAGGAGGCCGCCGACACCATCCGGGACTTAAAGCGTCAGGTGCATCGTTTGCAGCGCAGCGTCAGATACTGGCGGGAGAAGGCGAACGGGCTGGCCGAAAAACTTCAAGACATCAAACAAGAACACGTCTGTTACAAAGAGAAAACGCCCCTGGAAGTACAGCAGAAAAAGAAACGTCGTGAAGGGCACACCCCCGCTCTAAGTATTCATAGGGGTACACACTTGCAATGCGCAGAAATCAATCTCATACGGGGCGCGATGCCATCCTTCGTCAACAAGAAAAAAGGGTCTCGCCAAAATGTGACGCGATGGGAACGACTAATGGCCGCCAACATTGTCACGCAATCTAGAGCTTATTACGGTGAGAACTACGAATACATCGCGAATATTGCACATCGTCATTTGCCCACAGCTGGAATGTCTTGCGAGATCCATTGCGTCAGAGGCGGCGGGACTAACACCACCGTCGCCGGTTGCAGGGCGCGCATCCTCCTCAATCAATCAACCTCCTCGTTCCTTCCTCCTGCCAGGGTTCCCCCCCCCCCATCAGGCCCATCAAGGGCGCGAAGATAATCGCGCGTCGCGCGCCTTCTCCAGGTGGGCGGCGCCGGGGCGCGAAGATGACCGCGCTTGCGCTGTCCGCCCCGCGCGCCCCCCCGCGCGGGTCGCGCCACTCCCCTGGGGGTCCAATGTAGATTTGGAGATTTCGAAGATGAGGAGGGCGAGGAGGAGAGGGGAGGTGGAGAAGGGGGATGAGGAGGAGGTGGGAAAGGGGGCGGGAGGGGGAGGAGGAGGGCGAAGGGGAGGAGGGAGGAGGACGAGGTGGATGAGATGAGGAGCTCCCCCTCATGGAGGAGGATGCCCTCATCACGTCCACCTTCGTCGACCCCCCCCAGGCCCACGCGCGTGAGATTTGGAGCTGGTTTCGGCGCGCGTCCATCCGTGATGAGCGGCGTCCTGATTATCTCCCAGAGCCCCCCAGCAGCCTGCGCGCGTGCCACGCGGACTTGGCCAAAGTAAGCGAGCACTTTGGAGGCGAGGAGGCGGGGGCTACATATATCGAACAATTGTCAGGTGTGGGCGTTCTACCTTGGACTTCCGAAGTCATGTATTTCCCCCAGCCCAGCATGCAAGACAAGCACGAAGATTTACCTCAGTACGTGCACGTGCGGTGGTTTATCTTGTGTGTTGACCAAGGCCCAGACCAGACGGCCTGCGAGAAGCTCGTGTCTGGGGACGTCCAGGACATGCTGTGCACTGTGAAACTCAGGAGCTGGTGTTTGCGCCACATTGCCAACGTGGTCCGAAAAAACTCAATTGACTAGATTGGATGCATTCAAATACTTTGGGACCTGTGCTGAAATAGCAAGCCTTTGGAGAGCTTCTGGGAACCCCGCCAAAATCTATAAGGCGTGGAAATGCATTACCAATGCGGAGAGGGCCGATGAGGTGGCGAAAGTTCTTCCCCAGCGCGCTCTACGAAACAGGCGGGGGGTCCATCGCGAAATTGGAAGAGAAGTTACTGAAGTGTGGCCGAGAGGAGCTCCCAGCAGTGTTTCGTCACGCCTCGGTGCCAAAAGCTAAGCCTCGCGCCAGGGGTTCCAAGCGCAACTTGGTCGAGGACGACGACAATGACGGATATGCTTACTCAGAAAAAATATCCCGATGGGTTAAGGAGGTTGACCAAGGCTTGCACAGCAATGAATGTTTGGCGTGTTTGTATATTGCCAACAAATGTTCGGGGCCGCTGGTGCATCTGGAACGTTTTCTCAAAGGCGCCCGGGGGGGGGGGGGGGGTCGCCGCGCCAAAGCCTGGGGTCGGCGGAGAAGCGATAGCAAGGGCATGGATTTGGCAGGCGGCGAGGGGGAAGTGGGAACGGGCAGGAGACAGGAGGGGCCGGGCAGCACGCGAGGGGGGAGGAAGAGGTGGATGGGGGAGAGGGGGAGGCCCGGACAGGAGGAGGGCGGGCGGCTCCCACCACCGGGCCCCTCAACGGAGCTCGGTCGGCGCCAGCTTCTTCGCCGACGCGATGGCCGCGGCCTGGCGCGCCCCCCCCCTAAGAACTTCTCAGGCAGCAGCCGCGCGCAGCAACATCGACACGGCGCTTGGAATGACGACGACCCTATGCCAATGTTAGAACTCGCATCGCAAAAAGCAGAAGCCTTGCATTGCGAATTCCAGCACCTTTTGCTGCATGATCCTTGGGATGATTTGATGAATGGGACATTGATGCAATCACTGGCACCACAACACCCAATCGAAAAAATCGTGGAACTCGCTGCGTGTTGTGTTTCAGAAATGTGGGCAGATTTCTGGTGCCGCGTATACGAGCCATGCAAGATGTATCCAAGGAGAAAACTGCTTCTTGTTAAGGAAGGCCCAATGGTAGATGATGAAGTTCGACGGCAAATAGCGAGAGAGATGGTCGGCCATGGGAAGTCGACGAGTCTCGACCCACCTGCAGAGAAACTTTCCATACTATTTGAACCACACCTCGCAAGCGCACGGGATACAGGTACCTTGGATCAAGAGTTGTGGAATTGTCTCCGGGAGGTTGCGCACATGTGGTTGATTGATACACAAGACATCGAGGGTTGTAATTCGATCATCAAGAGTGT